GGGGGGGGGGGGGGGGGGGGAGGTGTGGGCCCTCGGCCCCCCCCCCCCCCCCCGCTATGGGGAGAAAGGAGGGCAGGACGTCTCTTGCGGTGGGATTGCGCTTAGGCTGTCATCCGTAGGCTCTGAGAAACGAGGCTTCCGGTTCAGGAGAGCTGCCCAAGGATGCCTTGGCCCATCTTCCGACCTGGAGCTCCCGTTGCAGTGACAACGCCCAGAATAGGCCTCCCTTCCCCGCTTTAAGATGGAGGAAGGGTAATTACGGGTGGCTGTTCCTCGGTGGGTTCCATAAAGTCAGCGAGGCTTTAGTTGGTTCTCAAGCAGTGAATGGGGTTATTGTCTTCACCAGACAGAGCTGGGTATATTTGAGGATCTTGGATACAACCTCCGTGTCACAATTTATTTAGATACAGTTCGGGCAGCCCAGTTTCCTTTCGTTTTCTAAAAAGCGATTCCTGCTTGTTTGCTCCGTGGAATGCAGTTCCAGGAAAGTAGATTTAAAACGCTGTTTAAGAGCTGGCACATGAGATTTTTGGTTTGAGGCCTTCTAAGGTGTGGTTTGAGGTCGGGCAAGCAAACATCAGGCTTCTCTTTGAAGGCCACTGATGTTCATAGGTGACTAATACTCTGGCCTCAGTGGCCTTTAAAGGGATTTCAAAGGTACCCTTTGTTAATTTAAAATAGGTGTCTCTTTTTTTAACATAGCTGTATTTTTTTAAATATTGTTTTCTTTCTGCAATGCTCATAGGAGCAATAGAAAGGAAATCAGCACAGTGCTACTTTGTGTACAGCAGCCTTATTGATTCATTCGACTTGAAAAAGTACAGTACATGTCTCTAAATAATTTAGCATTTCAAAAATCTCAATAGCCATGGTGCCCTAACCTTTTGAAAAACATCTCAATCTTCCTTAAATATGAACACAATTTCATCTGAATACGAAAAGATTTCTGGTCCAGATTTGGTGCTGCCATTGGATAAATTAAACACAACCGGATAATGAAGTTTGTCAGGTAATATTTTTGCCTTCAGTGAAACACGAATTACTTCAAATTATTGCTTAAAACTGTTTATTGTATATTAATATACAAAATATGATATGTAATATACAATAATATATACCATTATACACACACAATAGTATATAACTAAAAGACATGTGAATAGTAAAATGTTATTTATAGATACTGCAGATCATGATTTTGATTCCAAACTCTTTTCTCAACCTTAAATAATAGTATAAAAGCAGCATATCTTATAGGATTTCCAATATTTTCTTCATGTTCTGCACTTTCCTTAGGCCAATCGGATTTGTTCTAAACCCCTTCATTCATTTGGCTAGAGGAAAATGGATGCATGCCAGAAAATGGGAATACCATTATTTTTAGTCTGAGGCAAGCAGGTGGTTGCATTAATCTTCGTGTAATGTGTCTGAAGTCTCATGTTACCACTCACGCATGTTCTTTCTATCTCCTGTGTCACTTTACATTTTCTTCTCTAAAATTGAATTGGTGCTTCCTGTAGCCAGATATATGGAATCCATAGTGCTGCTTTATAATGCCCCCGTTTGAGACAATGTTTGTTAGTTTCTTTGAAACAATTATGTCCCACCTATCGTCCCCCAAAGTTTTTGGCAGCTCACAACAACAAAGAGGCCCTTTGAGTATTTCAGTAGATGGGCAAGTGGATACATGAGAAGGCAGTTCTTCAAGCATCGTGGTTCTAAACCACTGATGTCTTTAGAGGTCACCACCAGAGCCATCTGCAAGCTAGTGCAGCTGTTTCAGTAAGGGAAACCTTAATGGCATTTGTACTTTGGAATACTCTTTACCCTAAAATTGTGAGGCACTTACTATAACATCTTTTATGTGTCTGTTAAAGACCCCTCCCTTCATCCAGATCTTTACTGAATGAATATTGTTTTCATGATTCCTGTTTTATTTTTGTTTTTCTCTTCCCCATTCCCCATTTTTATTAATTTTATTTCATTTTTAATGCATTGCTTATATTATCATATTTTTAATTGCTGTGTTGTAAACCACTTTGAGATTTGCAATAATGGGATGTGGCATGCAAATGTATTTAATGATAATCAAATGTGACCCTGATAAGATCTACATTAGTTAACATATGGCTTCTCAAAGTGGGGTACAGATTTCTGGGGGGGCGGGGTCAGAAGAGTCGAAATGTGGTTGGGCAGAGAGAACAGAGCCCCAACTTGAAGGGAAGGCAGGAGCCTGCATCTTGTGGAGCTTATGGCAAGTACAATGCAGCCTACTTGCCATTCACCCTAAAGATTTTATTCAGGGGGCTGGGATTACTTGACATGCCAAACCCAAAGCAAACTATCTGTGGGAGGGCTTGGAGTGTTCTATGGATACATCCTAGGTCAGCGTTTCAGCACTTCTACTTCCAATCAGTATATTTCGAGAAGTTAGGCCTTTGGGCACCCCAGTGTGTGGTGTCCCAGGGCTTGGCCCTTTTCTCCTCCATCCTACTGCCATTGCTGCACTAGCTGCCAATATGTTTCCAGGCCCAGTTCAAGCCGGTTATTATCTGTAAAGTTCTATGGAGCTTGGAACCTTGCTACCTTCAGGACTGTCTTCTCCAAGTAGAATCTGACCACCTTGCACAATCTGATTTTTAAGATCATGCAATTATTCACATATCAACCCCAACCCTTCTACCAGATATTGATATATTATTATGGGGACTTGCACAACCAAAGTACTAGGCTGTATCCATCACTTTTATTTTCGAAATAAAAATATGGGGCCTATCTGGGACCCAGAGGCATTCTGGTCAATAAAGATGATACTAGAATTTAAGTTTGCAGCTTGATACTTCCGATGTGGGTGAACAGGAAGACAGTGGGCTCCAGGGGAGGTGTCTGCATTGCCTTCTTGTGGTTCACATAACCACATTCTGCTTGCTGCTGTATATAGGTTGGAGTGTGAAAATTTTATTGAAGAATCTTTTCTATTTCCTATACTGCAGATTTTAGAAAATAATCCAATAGCAGCTACTTTATCGGCTTGTTGACTCAGAGGAACCCCTAGAATGTCTGTTGCTGGTTTCTTGGTACTACCTGATTACTTTTCAATGCAACATTTTCCACCCAGGGACACCTTTCTTCTTTTATTTCTGAACAGGAGCATAGGGCATCCATTTAGTAGATTATTTATACTGGGTGCTTTACCTCTCCTGGCTATTCCTGCCATCACTATGTAACCTATTCCTCAGTAGGAGAAACTAATGTTCTTCTCAAGTCTCTGTTTTGCACATTGTCTGAATAACATCTACCTCAGATTACCAGAGTGCTACCAAGTTACTACATATCTACAAGGAAACTTGCATTGGCTGATACATTCAGTAAATCTTGCTAACAAGAACTATATTTAGAGGGAATCATATGACTAACTTTGCTTTTGATATCATCTATGGTATGTAATGACTCTAGCTTGGAGGACTTCAGAAGATATCAGACATGATGGATTACTTGTCTTATCTTCAGTAAGATGGTATCAGTACTGAACGTCTGCCATTAGAGAAGAACTATTCTGTAGGCTTAACATTCTTTAGAAATAACAATGCACACGGACCTAATGATGCAACTGTTGCTTTTCACAAGACCAGATAATTGTAGGAAGCATATAGGGATAGGTTTGATAGCTGCCATTCTGCTTTCCTTCACAGTTTCAGAATGGACCAGCAATTTAGGTTTGCTGCAGAAAGTTTTCAGCCAGTCCTAGGAGTTGCAATATTTATTTATTTAATGAGATTTATTTGTCATGTCAATTCCAAATGGATTCTAGCATTTAGATAAATACCAGCTTAGCCCTAAAAGGAAGGAAGGAGTGAGAAAAAACTCAAGATGGCCCCACCTTGATTCTCTTTGTTATCAGACAGGGGAGAGACAATCTCTGTCAGGCTTTCAAAATTCTGTTATTGCATCCTTTAACAATAAAAGTAGACATTCAGTAAGGATGCAAGAGGGGAGAAGTCTGGACTTATTATTTTCCTCTATTCATCCTAAACTCTCAACAGATTGCTTAATGTTATATAATCTCTTGAAAATGACTTGCTTATTTATTTATTTATCAGTTAATCAATCAATCAATCAAATTTATATGGCCACCCATCACATGAAAAGTGATTCTGGGCGGCTTACAACAATCAGATAAAATGACACACATGTAAAACAATCATTATAAAAATATAAAAATCAGTATTACAGATTAAATATTATTAAAAGCAAAATATGTATGTTTGTGTGTATCAACCCAAATATATCAATGCAGCCCTTGTAGAAGGTCTGCCCCTTCTGTTAAAGTGATGAAATCATAAAGAAATATAATCCATTCTGAAATCCATTTTAGACAATTGCCTGATAGAATAATCTGAAATTTGGAGTCGCTAGGCCATTTTGTTATTTTGAATCCTACAAGTTCTTGAATTTAATCCCTGGGCTTGTATTAGGCCACATATAGTTCATTACTCTGTGCCAATCATTTAATACCCTATTCTCAATAGGAAAAGAAATAATTTGCAATAGAAAATTTAGTAAAATATTAATTTTGACTGCTGCAATTCTTCCTAGCCAAGACAAATTTAATTTCTTTCATTTAGAAATATCTGTCATTCTCTGTTCTCAAGTTGATAAATAGTTGTTCTTGAATAAATCCTTATTGTTTTTTGTCAAAAAGATTCCTAAATATTTAGAAGTTAACACAGTAATGTTAAATCTGGTTAGCTGATACACAAATTGCTTTACAACTTC